AAGGGGGACCCCTTTTTAAAAAAAAAAAAAAAAAAAAAAAAACAACCCAGCACAACCACAGTTTGAGTCTCTTCTAAGTCCCTCTCCTGCTGTGTGCAATATTTACAGACATGATCAGATACACTGACTCAACCCTGAATCATCAGACACCCCTGACAAAAGGCGGGGGCTGCGACAGGGCGTAAGAGAACTAGATCCTTACCTCTTCAGCAGAAGTGATGACTCAAGACATAAAGATATTACTTACTTATTACTTATTATAACAGGAATACATCAATACAAGCAAGATATAAGTAGAGAGGGATGCAGACAGATTGCTGATCATTGATGTAAATGGGGATAGGCATGGTGGTTTCTGTAATCTCAGTACTCAGAAAGCTTGCTGTGCTCCTGCCTCGGGCTCGTGAATGCTGAGATCACAGGTATGCACCACAATGCACAGGAACATCTGTGGCAGCACAATCTCTTGCTGTTATTTTCTGGAGCTGAGGATTAAAGTCACAGTTTCCCTCCTGGCTTGGCAAACAATCTGCCACCATGCTACATCTTCAGTCCTGGCAGCACAATTTTAATACTAAGAAAAAAGAAGCAACTCTGGTTAATTAAGAGCTGAAATCATAAATGGTTGGGTGGGCTGGGGATGTAGTTCAATGGTAGAGTGCTTGACTAGTATATGTGAGGCTCTGAGTTCAACCCCAAGTACCACTAAGATAAAAAATTTTTTAAAAAGATGAAATAGGGCTGGGGAAATGGCTTGGGTGGATAAAGCCCGTACGGCATAGAATGAAGACTAGAATTTGGATCACCAGAACCCATGTACTAGCTGGGCAGGTGCCCAGCACTTGGGAGGCCCATGTACTAGCTGGGCAGGTGCTCAGCACTTGGGAGGCAGAGATGAGGGATTCCTGGGACAAGCTACCTAGACTAGACTATCAGTGAACTCTGGGTTTATTTTTTTTCATTGAGCTTTTTAAATTTCATACATTTCCCACTCAAATTCAGATCCCCCTCCCCCAATCCACACCTCTCTCTACCCCCCACTGAACCCTATGCACTCTGCCATACATGCTGACTCCTATTCATTCAAGTGTTTATACCCAAGTGTCCTTCAGTGTAAATGCCTCCACTGGAGTCTAGTCAGCCCATCCAGTGGTCATAGGTCATACTCTCCCTCACCCAGCAGTAATCAGTCTCAAATAGTTCTTAATCTAGTGCTGGCCCACCACCTATTTTTTACGTCCCCTTTGGGCCCTTGTTTTATTGAGCTGACTTGGGTCCCACATTTGACACCACAGCTGTCACAGGCTCACAGGAGCAAGCCTCCAGTAGCCTGGAAGCCTCCACCTCCCCATAATCATGAACCAGCCCTGAACTCTGGGTTTATCTGAGAGATCTTGTCTCAATAAATAAAAGTAGAAAGCCATCAAGAAGGACATCCAATGTCAAGTCACGCTTCCACATACACAAACCACACACATGCGTACCCTCCCCACAAATCCATGAGGGACTGGAGAATGGCTCAGAGGTTAAGAGCACTGGCTGCTTTTCCAGAGGATCCGAGTTTGGTTCCCAGCACCTACATGGTAGCTAACAACCATCTGTAACTCCAGTTCCAGGGAATCTGACACCTTTTCAAGGCACACATGTGGTACACATACATATATGCAGGTACACACTCATACACACAATCTAAAAATAAAATAAAAACATGAAATAAACGATGGTATGTTGATCCTGGAGAATGTTATGTACTTACTGCAAAGAACAGAGCAAAGTTCTAATCAAGAAAAAGTTAAGTCGAAGAAGTGAGTTACAGAATAAAAATTGTAGAATCCAATGAGGACTAACAAGATGGCTCAGCTGGTGAAGGCACTTGGCACCTAGCCTAACAACCTAAGTATGATTTCAAGACCTCCACAATGGAAGGAGAAAATCGACTCGACTCCTGAAAGTTGTTTTCTGAACTCCACACCTTCCCCACCATGTGCCATGGTGTATACACACGCACACACACACACACACACACACACAAATAAATAAATAAATGTAAAAATATTTAAAATTCCAGTGAAAGTGAGGTGTTCTGCTGGGGTGTGGTTCAATGGCACATTGCTTGATTGACATGCAT